TTAATCGGTGCGCCTGGCAGGTGCTCCCTAGGGGATGCGTGCTCCACTTCCGCCTGGCTCAGGAGCCTGGAAAGGCTTGCTTCTTCCAGGCCACCCTGGGCAGTCACGATTTCACCTGTACCTTTAGGAAACACTTTCCTCACTGAGGATCTGTGATTCCTCACTTGAAGTAAAGAAGTCAGATTGGAGCAGAAGTTAACACATGATTAGCCTGGAGAGTCAAATCAGTTTACAGATGGATGTTATTAACTTGCCCCAAGTGAAAACCATGGATGGAGCCATATATAATGTCCCAAAGCACACATTGTTTTTCTATTTTCACCAATTAATTTTTTTTTTCAGAACTGGAGATTGAACCCAGGGTCTTTTGCATCCAAGACAAGCCCTGTACATGAGTCACACCCCCACCTCCAAAAATACAGATCTTAAGTATTTATTTAATTGAAGTTTACAGCAGGTCACTACCATCCAAAGCAAAAAGTGAAATATTTCTATCACCTCAGAAACTTTTGTCACCTTCCCTGGAAAAGCACCTGTGAATCCAGTGAGCAAGATACAGAGACGCCACCATGTATAAGGCCAAATTATGAGTCTTTTTTGGAGAGCCAGAGGACTGCTGGTGGAATGCAGCTAGCGCTAAGCTTATATAGGCCAAAACCACACACAGGGTGTTGAATCAAACCCAACAAGAGTTACACATGAGCAAAGCAAACCAGATAAGGACATTTAAACCTAATAGAAAAGCAAACTATCTAGGTAAACAATCAGGGGAAATCAAAAGCCAATTATCTAGGGGAAGTTTAGACACAGCCTCCTTACTTCACTTTGCACTTGTCATCTGCAATAAAGTCCTGTCCCTGTGCCTCTGACAGGCAAGTTCATATCACAGACTTCTTTCTAATGCAAGGTTTTTAGTATTTATATGGCTCCTAACTGGGGAATGGGTAGTTCATACTCCTAATCTTAGGAACTCCAGGAGCTGAGATCCAGAAGATTATGGTTCAAACTAGCCCAGTCAGAAAAGTACTTGAGCCTCCATTTCCAAAAAGAGCAAAAAACCTAGCTGGAGGTGTGGCCTAAGTGTTAGAATACCAGCTGAACAAGTTTGAAGCCTTGCATTCAAACTCCAGCACTGGCTACTCTCCTGAAATGAGAAACAGCCTGGAGGGTCACAAACTCAAAAGCTTCCAGGGAGGAGCCAGCATGCCAGACATTAGGGGATGGTGACATTTGGGGCAAATTCCTTTAGGCAGTGGAGTAATTTTAATACACAGTGTAAGAAGGGTTAAACGTGACTATAATGTATGTTATGTGTTTAGAAAGCTGGCACCAATGCAGCCACCCGGAGACAGGCCTCTGGCAGTACACAGCAGCCAATGTTCTATGGCACTGAGCTTCCCTTCCCCCCACCCCACCCTGCCCCACCCCACCCCAGATTGTTCTGCAGCAGATTTCGGGTACCATTCTGGGAGCTTCACCTCAGAACTGACTCTCTGGCCCTCTTGATATCAATTTATTCCTTTTCTGTTGAATCAGGTCAGAAGCAGTTTTGGACACTTACGGCAAAGATAAGCTTGTGAGCCAGGGGAAAATGGAGGGTAGGGTAAGCCCAAAGATCATTTGATGGGAGAAATGGATCCCAGGTTTCTTCAATGGCAGAGAAACTAAACTTTGCTCATTCGGTCTATACCTGGAACATGTAGACAGACCTTGTGGGACCACTCAGTGTGCAGTGAAAATGTAAAAGATTTTATTGAGCGAAAAGTGCTGATGCGCCAGGACCACACCTGGAGTTGGGATCTCAGGAAATGCCCCGAGGGCCAGCCCACATCTGCTTTTAAGCATTTTGGGCTAGGCTGGAGAAAGGGGGAGGCTGGGTGTTGGTTTTAGCCAATGATTGTTACAAGAAATGCTCACCTTTACTTTAAATTTCCCACCAAGGTTTTGCTGGTGGGAAGCAGGAGAATAGAACAAAGCGTGGTGATGGTCCACTGGGTTAGGGCTTGCATTGCTCAGAAAACAGCAGAAGCAGAGTTACAGTTACAGGGTTACGGAGTTACAGTTACAGTTACTAGCTAAAGTAACAAGTTACCAGGGAAGTCTTAACCACAGCATCCTTACATTTATATCTTAAAATCATTCATTATCCATTTTACATAATTCAAGTCAAAAATCATAGTCCATCTTTATGTCCTCCACCATATCAGTGGCTAAGGCTGGGTAGCAAGACTGAGGGAGGCAAAGAATACATGTTCAACCAACCATTAACTATTTCTCTGCTTCTGTAACCCTCGACTGACAGCCCAGATGCTATCAGGTCAGCTGAGGGAAAAGCTTTTCTGCTTCCGCTTTTCTGCTTCCACTATTCTGCCCAGCGGGGCGGGGGGGGGGAACATCCAATGCCAAGACTTTGGAGCAGACAAAACAAGCAGGAGGCTGATCCAGGGCCCCACACCAAGTGGTCAGAGCTGTCTAATTTTATTGGCAACAGAGGGAGACTGGCTTGCATGGAAACTCAGGGTCTTAACAGGTGTGTAGCAGACGTCGTCAGTGTATGGATCACTACTTACCTGTTGAATGTTAATTTTGAACTGAGCCAGGAGGCACATACTATGTTTACTTTCCCAGAGGAGAAAAAAACACATTAAAAAAAAGTTGTTTACTTAAGGTCACTCAGCTAGTTGCTAAAACATGATAGGCTCACAGGACTTGTGAAATGAGGAAAAAGTGGAGGGATCAGATGTCTTGGTTTGAATCCTAAGCCAGGATCCTTGCAGCTGCAGACATACTAAGTGTAGTACCAGTGGGGAGGACACTAGACCCTTCTCAGTCCTCCTCCCACTGTCACCGATTCTCAATCGTCAGCTCACCTCCGGACAGAGTTCCTGTAGAACTAAAGAGACTGCTTTGCTTGCATTATACAACTCCCACTTCTCCTCTGAGCTTAGAGATGGCTCCTGATAGTAAAACATGTGTTACATGGCTGCTTCACCCCAGCAGTCTAGGGGGAAGAACTGTGTGAAGCCTGTGTGACTGAACTCCCTGTGAAATGAGGCAAAGGCTATTCAACCTACCAGAGCAAAAACATTCCCTGACAGAAAATTGTGACATCATGATCGGCTCATAAACATTTCCAGCTGGGCCCTGGTGGCTCACTATTCAGGAGGCTGAGATCTGAGGATCGAGGTTCAAAGTCAGCCAGGGCAGGACAGTCCATGAGACCCTTATTTCCAGTAAACCACTCAGAAAACTGAAATGGTGCAGTGGCTCAAGTGGTAGAGCGCTAGCCTTGAGCTGAAGAGCTGAGGGACAGCGTTCACACCGAGTTCAAGCCCCGATGACTGATAAAAAAAAAGTTTCCAGCAAGCCAGGCAGATGGTTCTTCCCCTAGTGCCACGTCTCCAGCTCCCTGCCCCTCAGTCTTGACCTCGTTTTTTAGGTAGGAAGACAGGCCAAATCTTTTCCAATTATTTTGAGGTTAGTAGCATGATCCAGGAACACTGCTATTCTAGCTTCTTTAAGCTGACCCAGCACCAATGTCAGCCTGATGCCTGTGCTAGGTCCAAGCTTCCCTACAGACCACAAAACACAAATGGAAAAAGATCTTGACTCTCAACTTGGCCCTGAGGCAGCATCATGAGTCTTCGATGGAACCTCCCTCCCTCCCCTACCCCAATTCCATCATTCAGCTCCCATCCCACTGTGGCAACAAATTGAGGTGAAAAGACACCTTTCTTTTAGTTCCTGTGGACCTTTGCCCATTTAATTCCACACATTTAGATGTCTGTCTGCCTGGATTGGAGGTTTTCTCTATGCTTACTTCTCTGCTGATCATGGGCCCCTCAAGGGCTGGAGATCATGTTTCATGAAATAAGCCAGACTCAAAGTCTTTTCTCTCATAGGTGTAATCAAGATTTTTAAAAAACATGGAAATAGGGGCTGGGAAGGTGGCTCAGTGGTAGAGCGCTTGCCTTGCATGCATGAGGCCCTGGGTTCAATTCCTCAGCACCACATAAGCAAAAAGAAGCCGGAAGTGGCGCTGTGGCTCAAGTGGTAGAGCACTAGCCTTGAGCTGAAGAGCTGAGGGACAGCGCCCAGGCCCAGAGTTTGTGCCCCATGACTGGACCCAAAAAAACAAACAAACAACAAAAACCATGGAAATAAAAGGTAGACTATTTGGGAAGAGGAAAGGGACCAAAAGGAGGAAAGAGGCAGGCCAATGAAGTGTAGTATCGCCCCTATTACCTTCTCATAATAGAATATAAGTACATTATATATGAGTATGTCATAGTAAAGCCAATTATTTTGTACTAGTATTTCCTAGTATTTCTTAAAATCAGCCTCCAGTTTTCTTTTTTTCTTCTAAGACTGGGACTTGAATTCAGTACATGATGCTTTTGCTCACTGGTTAGCACTATACCAAATAAACCATGTCTCCAACCCCCTTCAGGGCTAAATTTGACAGGAGAAAATCCTCAGGTTGTATTTCCATTTAAATCTCAAAATCCAAAGGGAAGGGGCAACATTGTCCAAAAAGAAATGTACTCTTTATCTGATTTACGTAATTGTAACCCCTCTGTACATCACCCTTGTAATAACAAATTTAAAAAAATCTCTAAATCCAGAATCAGCTATTTCCAGCATCTTTATTATATGTTCACAGAACAACTCTGCTCTTGAAAATGCATCTACGGTGGTTGGCACCTGTTGCCTGCTTCTCTTGTCCACAAATGGGGTTATTTGCTACTAAGAAATTTAATTTCTTTTGCAAGGCAAAAATAAAAACAAAAACAACCATCAATAGATTGGTGTCTTTTGGATATCTCCCACTTGGCAAGTCCCCCAATTTTCCCTCAGTTCTTGCTCCTCCCTTCCCTAAAGGACATGCAGATAGTAAGCACCTTCTTCTCCGTCTCATTACCTTTTGGGTGCTCAAATGTGAGTCAAGTCTGGTCATCAAACAGAAACAATACCAAGAGATAAGTAAAGAGACACTCATATAAGGTATGCACTAATAAAAATTTATTATCAGAAAACAAATCAGAAATTTTTAAACAATTCACAATTAAAGTGGAAAGAGACAAAATTATAAGGCAGCCATCCATGGAATGATTTCATGTGTACAAAGTATCCAGAAAAAGAGACACTTAAGATCACTGTCTAGGCCACAGAACCAGGGAAAATGCAGTGTAATCCCAGGAGACTCTCAGCTTGCCAGAAAACACTACCAGGCAAAGAGCAAAGCTAGTCTCTTTGTGTTAAGCAACTGTGTTTGATGGAACATATCTAGGACTCCTGAACAGCTAACTAGTCCTTTTCTGTAAGCCACACACCTCCTTCAGGTGTCCTGAGGTGAAATGAGATGTCTCAGGTACAAAAAGGTTACATCATTGGTTTTAATTTCATAGCATCTTTAATGTCACTCTTTGGGCAACATGGACCCTTCTCTACTGAGTAGAAATTTCTGTTTGCAAAGAAGGGTCCTCTATACAACTACCAAGGGTAGTTCTCTACACTGCAGCAGTTGGGGACAATTGTGGTCGTGATTCTTAATCTTTTGGGCTCAGAGCCCAAGAGACAGAAGAATCCCTTAGGGGCTTCTACTATTGACATTCTATAGTTCCCAGGGTCAATACCTATGGAACATGTGTCAGGGGCTTCACACACTCAGATACCTGTGTGTCCCCCTAGTTCGAATCTTCAAGGGAAAAACAACAAACTAGACAGTGACATTTAGAAGTAGTAAAAGCCACTATTACATTGTCTCCTTTCTGTAAGAAGTGACGCCTCAAAAAAGCCATACTCTTCCTTTTCTTTAGTGGTTCAAACTACCAGAACAGGCTGTTTTGAACTAGAAACTAAGAAGAAGAAGAAGGCTGATAAGAACACACAGCCTCTGTAGGTAGGAGTGTTTCCAAACTCTTCATATTGCAGTGCAAAACCACGGACCAAAAACCCCCAGAATCAAACCCACAACCTCACTATGGTGATGTGGGAACTGATGAGCAACTACTTGGAGAACAAATGAGGGGAGTAGTAGAAGTGATTTCAACTTAATTTGCCACTTAAAAGAATACCTGGAACCTGAAGAAAGTCTAGCCCTAACCAAGAAAAAAGACTCAAAATTCAGATTGACTTTGGTTATGAGGAAGGATGGACCATGTTTTTCATAATTTACTGCATCTCTTTGTGCCTATGATTTCATTTGTAATCATGGCAGCAACTAAATTTGCTAGTGTTTTCAAATGCGTTTGAGCATTAAGGCATCCACATCTAAGGAGGCAGTTTTAAACAGGAAAAGAAACAGTACTAAAATATGCTAAGAAGCGAACGTTGAGATGGCCTTTCTGGGAGACACAGCCCGCCACTTGAACAAGCTCTTCTTCCAGTGAAGGGGGCCTCTGCCACACGGTGTGGTTCCCTACTGCCTGAAGATGCATTGAGCCCTGTAAGATTTGTATGGCTATTTCTGCCTGCTGGCCAGGGGAAATATGAGTAGCTCCCAAGGCAGCAGCTTTAGGATCTGGGAAAGCCCACAACTTCTGAGAGCCTGTTAGTATTGAGGTCCAGAGGGGAAGGCAAATTTGGAAGTATGATGTTCAATCCTTACCAGAGCTCAAGGCCCTGTCCAGCAAGATATTCTGGCCAAACTTTTTAAGCGTGATGGCAAGGCACTGCTGAAAGAGGCTTTGGCCAGCAGAACAAATTTCTGATCATCACACACACTATGTAATAGAAATTACTTCTATCCAAACCAAACCAGACAGAAAGACCTGCTATTTACTTGACAAGTATGTTTCTAGAAAGAATCAAGGCAACCATACTTTAGAAGGACCACTGTTACTATGAATCTGGAGAGTCATTCAGACTCTCTCTTGGCTTGAACATTAGATGCCATGGTCGCCCACCACTATATAAAAACCGTTTTCTATTTATGCTACTTCTTTCCCTGGAGCCAGCAGAGGGCGCACAAGTGTAACTCCACAGCTGCGGACCCAGTGATGAAATGGGAAAGAAGAAAACGGGCATGCTGGCTTATGTGTCACACGAAATGTTTGTACAAATGACTAAATCCACTGTCCTCAAGAAACTATTCTTGGTTCCCTCTTAATGTAATGTGATTTCAAGTGGTACAAAAAATAAAAATAAATTATTAATACAGTATTACACACTTAATTGACAAAACAGGATTTATACAGATTTTGGCAAACATGGAAAATTACCTTAGTTTGTTAAACACTTCTGCTGTCTCAATTGTTTAAATTACCAGAGTATTAGTGACTGTGTCAACTCACACATGAGGAAGTGATATTTCCACAGCTGAACACAGCTGTGCTGGACACAAAAAATAACTTATTTGAAGGGACTAAAGGACAGAGACACTTTTATCTTCATCACCACAGTTCAAGGAGTGGGTGTCCTGATGAGAATTCGTCTCACACAGTACTGACATCACCACCAGCAGTAAGCAGCAAATTATAGGGAGGAGGAGCTAGAGGAGAAAGTTAGGAGAAAAGTATGGGAAATATGAAGACACAAGACACATGATTTCAGTAAGCTTTAAGCCAACGGGCAGACACTTCTCACTTATGATACAGCTAGACTTTCTTCATGCTACAGGTGCTTGCTTATGTGAGCAGACACAATGCTTCCCACGCTGGACAAGTGCCTTGCCAGAGGGACTGTCGACCTGCTAAAAGAAATACTTAAAAGAAGAAAAAAGAACAACACAGATTTTGATAGTCTTACTTTTAGCAAGATCATTAAAACATTGTCAATAACTATCCAAATTCACTTAAAATTTAGTATCCCTTAATTTCCAAAGATACTTTGTGATGGGAGTAAAATTAAAGCCTAGCCTGAACCTATGAGAACTTGGGTCCTTTAGAAATGAACTGGAGGCAGGTATTCTGCCAAGGAAACTTGAAAGAGATGCTATTAAACACTAGTCATATCTGCTGCACCGGTGGAAAGAATAGCAGGCTACATTCAGAGAGGCATATGCAAAGGAGGTGGTTAAGATTCTTTAGACATCCCCTTTCACTGGCTATCTCCTTTTAGAGAATGAGTGCAACTTTCAATGTGTCTTGCTCTGATTTTCCTTCTCTAATTTCAAATTAACTGCAATCACATTCCGCATGTAAGAGAATGGTGCTGTGGCCTTCTATCAAGGCATGTGGCATACATGCTAAAGCACCAGTCTTCCAGGGTGAGGACCATGTTAAAAATCAATGGGTAAAATGGCAGAGCCTCTAAGGAGAAAGACATTTAGCTTAATTACAGAACACTGTATTTTCATAATTACTATTTCCTTTTGAGTATGAAGTTCTCCACTTTTCTTTAAAATTAAATTCCATCTTCCCTGAGAATAGGGTTAAGAGAAACATCAGTACTCAATATGCCAAAGACCCTTTAAAAGACAACACAAGTCTCTACCTAATCACAATGTGTTGTTCCTACTCTACAAGCTTTTCCATTACTCCGGGGTTGACTCTCACCTCCCTCCGGACTCTGGGAACACGGGTGGAGATGGGCAAGGTGAGACAAGACACTGAGGAAGTGAGCAGCTGTCACAGGTTGGCTGTTCTCACTGGATGGCAAGCGACCATGGACTGACGCTGGAACCTGAACATTTAATGCTGGTGTCCTACTGACAGGATGAGTGGGATGAGACAACCCAGAACCAGGGCTGCCACCTCCAGGCGGCTGAGGCCTCTCCCTCCAGTGCTGTCAGCTTTGTGGCTGTGCCCCATTCCGCCCACCTCAGGGAGGACATGTACTGTGGCAACGTAAAGAAATGTCCCAGCAGAGAAAAGCATGGCTACTCCAGTAGCGTTGACCTCTGAAAGAGCTTCTTTACTGCTCTATGAGATAAAAGAGAAAAAGGAAACATTAAGTCAAGTAAAATTCAGGCTAAGTCCCAAACTAAATATTCACACCTGACACCTGGTATGGTCTCAGGCATGGGAGACATCTTGACATGCAAGTAGATCTAATCATTTATGGAGAGCTGAGGAACATCAGTGATGTACATAATTGCTTGATTTTGTCTGGTTGATGGTACTGGGGTATGAACTCAGAGTCCTATGCTTACTAGGCAGGCACTCTGTTGCTAAGCCATGCCTCTAGCCTCCTTTTCACTCATTTTTCTTTCAGTAGTCTAACTTTCCAACCAGGTGTGTGCCTGAGGCACATTCTGTCCATTTTAGGCTTTCCATAGTTGCTAGGATCACAGCTGTGTGCAGCCATAGCCAGCCTCACTGAGATGGAATCTTTCACCTAATTTTTTCTGCCCAGGCCAGCCTGGAACCATTATCCTGTTTTCAGCCTCTCCCACAGCTTGGGATGACAAGCATGTGACACTGCACCTAGCTATCAATTGAAAAGGAGTCTCAAAAACTTTTCTGTCCAGGCTGGCCTCAAACCATGACCCCCACATTCTCAACCTCCCAAGTAACTAGGATTGCAGGTATAACCACCAGTGTCTAGCTCACAAGCACTCTTTAAAATTTTATTTTAAATTGGAGGAAGGTGAGAAGAGAGTAAAGGAAATATAATGGAGGGTATAAACTTGTTCAAAGAATAGTGCAGGAAGTGGTACTGTGGCTACAAGTGACAGAGGGACAGTGCACAGGCCCTGAGTTCAAGCCCCATGGCTACCATCACCACCACCACCACCACCACCAAGAACCGTAACAGCAAAATACTGCATATATCTATGGAATTATCACAATAAACTCTCCTTGTACTAGATTGATGTATGCTAATCAAAGTAAAAATGTTTTAAATTTACATATATACATATGCATAAACTTATATATACATATATATTATGGGTTCAAAGTGATGTTATGATTTATGAAAGTACAATATGGAGTAATTAAATCAATCAAATTAATATCTCCATTACCTCAAATACTTTTTCTTTGTGGTGAGAGCATTTGAAATTTACCCACAACTTTACTAGGCAGGTGCTCTACCATCCCCCATTACCTACACTCTTTGGATGAAATCAACAGGTTAATGTAGACATTCAACTTCAGAAATCAATTCATTCATTCTACTACTACTTAAAAAGTGTCCTCTACACACTAGACTATAAGCCAAGTACCTGAGATACAGTGATAATCAAGATGCAATAGCCACCCCCACTAAGCTTAGACTATTTATACAATTAATTTCTATCTTTTCCATTAAAAAAGGCAAACCTATGGACTAATAAACAATTCAAATTTTAAGACCTTTCCACAGATGCAGTATGTAACTGCAATGCCTCCAGAATTATCAGGACCTTCCTGTAATAAGTTGTAAAACTTATACTGCTCAATGAAATAGAAGTCATAATTTAAAAGGAACTCTATACTGCTCACAAGCTCTTCAGGTGAATGGAAAGGGTTGTTTAACAATAACTTATTTGTAAGCAATCAAGACCAACAACCTTCACTAACAAACGTCACCATTGCTTAACTATCTTGTTATATATTCCTTTTAGTAGAGGTAAAAACCTCTATTCTGTAGTAAAAAGTTTACTATAGAATAATGAATCTCCTCCCTAGGAGGAGTGGAAGAAAGTAGTTCCTTCAAACCAGTACTAAGTTTGCTTCTAAGATTTTCCTCCTAAAGCTTGCCCACTGATATTTAGGCAAAGTGGGAAGGGTTGTTGCTAAGAACTACAGCCCAAGTAGACTCAATCACAAGGGACAGAAAGGTCCAGCTTGGAGGAGAAAGGGTGCTTGTGCTTGTGAGCTGACAAATGACAAATGTCATTTCAGATCTGAAGCTATGTTCAGTGAAAAAGAACTAGATATTCAATTTTTGCTAATATGACTGCTGGGAAGAGAACAATCTGAGTCAGCAGAAAACAGCCATCTTTGTTCACCCCCTACTCTAAGACTGCCATAGGTGCTTTATGTGCCTACCCCAATACCACACAGAGATGACTGTGACTGTGTATGCATTTGTGTAAACACTATTAGAACCAATATGAACAAGGAAATGTTGAAGGACTGATTTGGAATTAAGACATTTACTTTGAACAGGTGTTCACACCTATTTTGTGTGTGTGTGGGGGGGTGGTCATAGGGCTTGAACTCTGGGCCTGGGCACTGTCCCTCAGCTCAAGGCTTGGGCCACAGTGCCGCTTCCGGTTTTTGAGTGGTTTATTGGAGATGAGAGTCTCACGGACTTTCCTGCCCAGCTGGCTTTGAACCACGGTACTCAGATCTCAGCCTCCTGAGTAGCTAGGATTACAGGTGTGAGCCACCGGCACCCGGCTAAACCTAATCTTTGTCTTTAGTTTGAGAAAGTAATTTAGTTGGAAAACCAACATTAGGGATTTTAAGTTCTGGTAGATCTGACACATGTCTAGAAAAACAAGGGGTGCTCAGACTTACCTTACTTAGTCCTAAGAATGTCACCATGGACATAACTGGTGCTGCCAGTGCAAAGACCAGCAAGTGCTTTCTAATTCGATTCCGCTCCAGGCCAGCATGCATTAGGAAAGAAACCAGCCCAAATGCTGCTGGTGCCTGAGAAAGACAAAGTACCCTTATTAGTACCCTACAGAGATGGATTGCTTCTACATCAATATGTACATGTCATGATATGAAATCTGCTATCAAAAACCAAAGCACCAAGACTGAGCCCTTTTAAGAATTAATGTTCTAAACTAAGAAGAGATTCTACATGTTGTGTATGTGTTTTTTAGCTGGATAGAGAAACAGTCAAGGAGAGAAAAATACTTATAAAACAAAATATATGAAATATAGGAATCTAAAGAGAATTTAATAGTTCGGATGTATGCCCACCAAAACCCTCAAGTAGGAATTTAAGAAAATAGCAAGAAGTAGCTGTGAACAGAATTATGCAATTCTCCAAAATGATAGCAATTAAGAAGCTAAAAGACTTTTCCCATTCCAGAAAGGCAATATGGACCCAGAAAAGTTTTAATTTCAAATATATTCAACAGCAAATCTTGGCTTACCTTATGTAGCATTATTGCCACAAACACAATTAACTGCACACTAGTCTGTGAAGTAGAAGCTGCTGCTCCCAAAGCTACACCATCCGCTAAGTTTGGAAACAATAAAACATAAGATTCTATAAACAACAACAACAATAGCATAGGCTGAGTGTGTGGACTTTAGAGGCAGGTAGAGCTGGACCTAAGGCTGGAGCTACTTCATCTTTCTGAAGTTTAGCCCTCTCATCTTTTTTTTTTTTTTTT